GGGCTGCCTCGCCGTCGCCTTCTGGACGGTGCGGGGAGAACAGCCGTCTTGGTTTTTCTGGGTAACTAAAGTTCCGGTATTCGAACCCCCAGTTTTTAAGTAAAATTTTTATGTACGTCACAGATACGTTGTAGCAATTTTGGATGCAGAACATGGGGTCAGCAGCACACGTGTGATAGATGCGTCCCTAATGCGTGTGGTTGAGTAAGCGTAGTGTTCCCATCTTCGGGCAAGTTGAGTGAGACAAAGGTGGAGCTAACTTCTGTGGTAACTGTTGGTCACTTTTTAGTGATAAAACTTACGGTGTGTCTTCCTTTATCTTTTTACAGTGAAAGCATTGTAAAGTACAGAGTGCCAGTTGAAAGGGCTGGAGGTAACATCACTGTGTTGTATCAAACCAGAGTGCAGAGGCAGGAGAGCACTGTGTGGGTTTCCAGTCTTGCAGGAAGGACTGGTTTGTTTTGTGGATGTGGTCAAAACACCATGTTCCCTGTGCCTGATGATAATACCCAGTGAAGCTCCCATTTCTCTGCAGAATGAGCATCCTAATCAAGCTGGTTTTTTTAAATCCTGAAAAAACCTAGCCAACTATTTTGACTTGTGCATGTAGCCTGTGAGGTTTTTGTCACAGGTGAATTTCATTCTACCTGCTCCTAAGGGGATTTAAAAAAAATAAAATCTTTTCCCACCTTTTGAATTATGCAAAGACTTTAATTTTGTTTCTGTTTCAGGCCCATTTTAAGGCCTGTCTGCATGCGTAAATAAAACACATGAAGTGGTATGCCTGAGTTTCACAGAATCTTAGAATGGTTTGGGTTGGAAGGCACCTTAAAGCTCATCCAGTCCAACTCCTGCCATGAGCAGGGATACCTCCCACTGCACCAGGTTTCTCAAAGCCCTGTCCAACCTGGCCTTGAACACTTCCAGGGAGGGGGCATCCACAACTTCTCTGGGCAACAACAGTTGCTCTTCCATACTTTCTCCCTTGTTTCAAAATCTTGTTTTAATAGAAGTATTTTTCTCAGAGAAATGTCTTTTTGTTTCCTAAAAAAAAAAAAGCATAGGAAAGCAGTTTAGCTGCTTGGGAAAATTTCTGCTGGCAGGTGATAGGTGTTTGTGGTAGAATTGAAAGATTGTCATCCATTCTGATAAAAGCGTGTTATCATTTTTGTTTGCCTATAACAAACATATATTAAAAAATTCCAGTTTCTGTGCAATTTTTACTCTTATGTAATGTGACTTTGGCTGTTCTCTGGAGTCTCTGCCAAGCAGAGGAGAATACTTCAAAGAATGATTCCATCAGTTCTTCCAAACTGTATTTTTTGTATGGTGAAATTCTATTTCATGTGATCCTTTTTTTTCTTCTCTTTGCTTTAGCACCTAAGGCACCTGTGGCCAGCAACCTTGTCCCTGCAGGCGCCAGACAGGCATGGATGAGGAAAGATCAGCCTCACACTCAACAGCAATTTGTCTTTGAAAAGCCCTCAGAGGTAAAAATTACATGGTAACTAGCAGAGTCTCATCTTTTATTAAACTTGAAATGACAAAAATTATTAGACTTTGAGATTATAATCTCATGTTTAAAAATAAATTAAAAACTCAGTTGAACTAAACTTTGGGATTTTATCAAGCAGAATTTGCAGCTTTCTTGCATATATGGCAAACAAAGTTACGGTGCCTAGTTAAGCCTCAGACTTCGAGTATTCATTACGTACCTGTTCATAACTACTTTTTTTTTCAGAGAGCCAAAAGAATATGTTCTCCTAAATATTCAGAATGTTGCAATGTCCTAAGCATGATTTAAGCTATGTTTTTCCCTCACAGCATCACAGAATGTTAGGAGTAGGAAGGGACCTCGAAAGATCATCCAGTCCAACCCCCCTGCCAGAGCACGATCACCTAGACCAGGTCACACAGGAACACGTCCAGGCGGGTTTTGAATGTCTGCAGAGAAGGAGACTCCACTGGGCAGCCTGGTCCAGTGCTCTGTAACCCTCACAGTAAAAAAGTTTTTCCTCATGTTCAGATTGAACCTCCTATGCTCCAGCTTGCACCCACTGTCCCTTGTCCTGTCATTGGATGATGATTGATGGAGCCAGGCTCTTCTCGGTGTCAAACAATGATGAGACAAGGGGTAATGGGCACAAACTGGAACACAGGAGGTTCCACTTAAATTTGAGAAGAAACTTCTCAGTGAGGGTGACAGAGCACTGGACCAGGCTGCCCAGAGAGGTTGTGGAGTCTCCTTCTCTGCAGACATTCAAAACCCGCCTGGACGCCTTCCTGTGCAACCTCATCTGGGTGTTCCTGCTCCGGCAGGAGGATTGGACTGGATGAGCTTTTGAGGTCCCTTCCAATCCCTAACGTTCTGTGATTCTGTGATTGGCTGTCGCAGAGCAGAGCCGAGCCTGGCTCCTTCCTCCTGACACTCGCCTTTACAAATTTATAAACATGAATGAGGTCTCCCCTCAGTCTCCTCTTCTCCAAGCTAAAGAGACCCAGCTCCCTCAGCCGCTCCTCATAAGGGAGATGCTCCACTCCCTCCATCATCTTTGTGGCTCTGCGCTGGACTCTTTCAAGCAATTCCCTGTCCTTCTTGAACTGAGGGGCCCAGAACTGAACACAATATTCCAGATGTGGTCTGACCATGGCAGAGTAGAGGGGAAGGAGAACCTCTTTGAAAGGCTGTCATCTTAGCTTGGAAGGACTAGAGATAGTCTGGGATGATTCTGTTTTTTCTGTGTCAGAGCCCTGGTATCTATATGGTACCAGATTTTAACCCTCTTGCTTACTCAACTCGGTACCTGCTTGCATCTCAGCACTCCACAGACCTCAGAGAAGAGAAGCATAAATCCCTGAGACAACCAGAATGAGAATCCAGTCTGGACCAGGCCGGATTAAACTACTGTGTGTGTTATTTGTGTTTTAATGAAAAGCAGCAATCTCAAACTGTGCAGACAATTTTGAAGTGTCAGCTCTTGCTATGTCTGGTCTGACTTGCGCTTATTGTCTGGGGCCTGGGGTTTGTTCATACCTCCTATAGTTGCTCTAGATTTCTACTTCCATGTGTAAGGATAAGAATTTTTTTGGTTGCAGTCGATAAATAGCAAGTATTGTAATAATCCAAATAATTTAGAAGTGAATGTTCTTTAGAGGGCAATTGATGGTTAAAAAACACTTAGTGGTAGCTGCATTTGCAAGTTTCTGGGGCATGGAGAGAGTGGGTGGGTTGTTACAGCTTATCAGTTGTCCAGAGATACGTTTTTCTCACTGACATATCGGTATGCAGCTATATAGAGTCATTGGAAATGGCAATTGGTTCTGCTTGACTAGAGCACACCAGGTTTAAATGTTTAATATTCACCATGTATTGTCTTGTTGCCTTTCAGGTGGAACGCAAAGTTCCCGAGGCAGGTGTGATAGAGTGAGTATAACTGTCCTTCGTGCCATTTTTCTGTCTTGTTGGTCAGTGGGAATCTGCTGAAAAACAGTTCCTACTCCACTTAAAACTGCCATGCCTTTGGAAGAAATTTGAGATATATTCACTTGCCCTTTGTGCTGAAATGGGGATCTTCTCAGAATAACTGGCATGAAGTGTGACGAGGGGTTGTGGTATATGGTGAAGTTACAGATTTTGAAAGTTAAATGTACTTTAGTTTGGTTATCTTACAGAATTTTCTTACTCGCTATGCCTATAAATGCAGACACAGCTATCAGGGTGAAGTCTTGTGTGGTCGTCTCCTTTAGATTCGCTGTGACACCCCTCATTTACTTGTCTCTCTCTAGAGCCCTAAAACTCTGTGTTGAGCCTTTGGTGACATGAGAGCAAGAGGCAGGAGGTATATACAAATGCATTTGCTTCTGTAACACCCCTTGCTGCCTTACTCTAACCTCTTACTATCTCCAGAACATTATTGCTTCCCTTTTTAAAGTTTCATTTCTTTTTTAAAGAAAACTTTCCCTAGTCCAGGCTTACAGCAATTCCAGTCCATGCTGCTCAGTGTAAGAAACTTTCTTCTTGTTTCTCTGTCTGATGGCTCTTTCCTTTCTACATCCTCAGCAAGCCTGGTGTGTATGAGCTCAGCAAAGTACCAAGTGGCATTTCTAGGTAAGTGGATGAAACTTGCTATTGCAGAACGATGTGGTGATACTCACCTTTCTGAAGTGTAGTCTTCTTAGAGTGTTTAGACTCTGGCAGGTGCACATCGCCCTTCCTGTGTATCTTCTGGAAATACTTTGGGTATCAGGTAGCAGAGACCTATGCAGTTCTGAGCAGCACTGAAGAGAAGCAAATTGAATCTCTTAACATTTGGTGTGTGCTGCATCTAGTGCTCTTGTCTGGAATAAGGAGAAAGGGCTACGTCCATTTGTTTCATGATCCAGATTAGGTTGCTGCTTGAAATTTGTATCGGTTTTCGTGTGTTAGCAAGTGCATGATGTCTGTGGTGTATAGTTAAGAGCTTCCAAGAATGTTTAGCTGTAATTTGGACTCGTTTTAAATTCATCTAATAAAAGCATTTAACTTTAGGCCGACTTAGTAATTTCAGGGTTGTCCCTTTGGCTTACATGGTATGCCTTAATTATTTCAGCTTCAGGACACTTCGAAACAAAGTCTACTTGTTCTGGGATTCCTACTAACTAAAATGCATTTTATTTTACCTTGCTGACTTAGCTGCAGCATCAGTTTTAATCCTTTTCTTCTGAATTTGATAGAATTTATTAATCGTGGGAAAAATGTCAAGGACATAGTAACTTTTTGCGCATTTATTTCAAAGCTATCATCTTAGTTCCTTCCAAAATGGCAAATAAATTTTGGTACCAATTTGAAAAGTAAAAGCCTTGGCCAACTGGAAAGAAAAAAGATACACAGCCAACTGGTTTATTCTGACTTTTTCTGGAGTTTGTTTTCATAATATGTTGCTGGAATATATACAATTCTGGAAAGTTAATAATTGGATTTTGCATTTCTTTTGGTACCTTCTTACTGTGATGTCTTTGGAGCATTGCATATTTGTGAGAGTCAGCTCTTGTGAACAGCTTTGCTACTCAGCATACCATAATCGTGGCTGTATAATTTATCAGATGTGAAGTTTAATAACAAGCAGAAGAATGCCGTTTTTCACACCGTGTATGGCTGATTGTGAGACTCTTACGATATTGTTGGTGTCGTATGTTTTTATAAGTTTTTAAAAGCAATCAGATGTGTTTGGTGAGGGGAAGACTCATCAGGAGCTCCTGCTGCCTTCTGGCCGTATGTTTTTATAAGTTTTTAAAAGCAATTAGATGTGTTTGGTGAGGGGAAGACTTATCAGGAGCTCCTGCTGCCTTCTGTTCTTTCCTTC